AGACAATGCGGAATAACGTAGCCAGTAGAAACAGTCAGAGAGAGAGAGAAAAAAAACGCTTATAATAGGAGTGTAAATATGGATGGTATTGTAGTAGACGAATGTGAGGTGAAAGAGGAACGGTGAGTTTTGATGACGAGAATTTAAGCATTTAGAACACGCACATAAACGCGCGAGGAACTGGCTAAAAATGGCGGGGTCTTAGCAAGATGACCTTGGGATGATTTTGAGAATATCTACTCAAGAAGAAAACGGAATTGCATTATATAAGACTGGAGGATGGATGAATGAGATGATTAAGGCAATATTTTTTGTGAAACAAGTTAGTTGAGTAATTATATACTATGGTTCATAATGCTTATATATGTATATACCTTATCTATTTTGCGTGCGTATCTGATGAAATGGAAAGAAATATAAACCTGCCTAGAAAATTAATATACAAATTCATCCATACCTTACGCGTATCTTTTACGATGAAATGATGATATACATAAAAACAAACAAGAGAGCAAAAAAAAAATCCCAACATCGGATAAACGATATCAAGGAAATAGAGAGTTAATGAACCGGAAGACAAGCCCTATAAATCCGTCCTGGTAACCTCTCGTTTTCCTCACCTTCTCCGCCATCAGCTGAATACTAGCCAGCAAGAGTTGGAGTATCGTCACGGCGTCCGATATGACAGATTCTTGCTGCTCTATCTGCTGCTGCAATTCCTCCTGCTCCTGTTGCAGCGCCGCGAACTGCGCCAACAGCTCATCCGCTGACTGTGATTCGCTGGGACCGGCTGGCTCTGGGACACCTCCCGCCGTTGCAGTTGTTGTGGGAGCAGAAGTTGAGGGAACAGATGTTGGGACAGGTGTTGTAGGAGCAGATGTTGTTGTGGGAACAGTTGTTGTGAGAGCAGGCGTTGTAGGAGCAGATGTTATTGTGGGAACAGGAGTTGTGGGAGTTGTTGTAGGAGAGGATGTTGTGGGAGCAGGCGTTGTAGGAGCAGATGTTGTTGTGGGAACAGTTGTGGGACCATGTGTTGTAGGAGCAGATTTTGTTGTGGGAACAGGAGTTGTGGGAGCAGGTGTTGTAGGAGATGTTGTGGGAAAAGTTGTTGTGGGAGCAGGTGTTGCAGGAGCAGATGTTGTGGTGGGAACCATAGTTGTGGGAGCAAGTGTTGTAGGAGATGTTGTGGGAACAGTTGTTGTAAGGAGCAGATGTTGTGGAACAGTTGTTGTGGAGCAGGTGTTGTAGAGCAGATGTTGTGGAACAGTTGTTGTGGAGCAGATGTTGTGGGAACAGTTGTTGTGGGAGCAAGTGTGTAGGAGCAGATGTTGTGGGAGCAGGTGTTGTAGGAGCAAGATGTTGTTGTGGGAGCAGATGTTGTTTGGGAACAGTTGTTGTGGAGCAGATGTTGTGGGAACAGGAGTTGTGGGAGCAGGTTTTGTAGGAGCAGATTTTGTTGTGGAACAGGAGTTGTGGAGCAGGTGTTGTAAGGAGCAGATGTTGTAGGAGCAGATTGTTGTTGTGGGAACAGTTTGTTGTGGGAGTAAGTGTTGTAGGAGCATATGTTGTTGTGGGAGCAAGTGTTGTAGGAACAGGTGTTGTAGGAGCATATGTTGTTGTGGGAGCAGGTGTGTAGGAGCAGATGTTGTGGGAACAGTTGTTGTGGGAACAATTGTTGTAGGAACAGGAGTTGTTGTAGGAGCAGAATGTTGTTGTGGGAGCAAGTGTTGTAGGAGCAATGTTGTTGTGGGAACATGAGTTGTTGTAGGAGCAGACGTTGTTACGGCATTAAATGTTGTGGGAAGAGGCGTTAAAGTTATAGCAGATGTTGTTGTGGAACAGTTGTTGTGGAGCAGTGTTGTAGAGCAGATGTTGTGGGAACAGTTGTTGTGGGAACAATTGTTGTAGGAACAGGTGTTGTAGGAGATGTTGTGGGAACAGTTATGGGAGCAGGTGTTGTAGGAGCAATGTTGTTGTGGGAACAATTGTTGTAGGAACAGGAGTTGTTGTGGGAGCAAGCGTTGTAGGAGCAGATGTTGTAGGAGCAGATGTTTTTGTGGGAACAGTTGTGTGGGAGCAGGTGTGTAGGAGCAGATGTTGTGGAGCAAGTGTTGTAGGAGTAGATGTTGTTGTGGGAGCAGGTGTTGTAGGAGCAGATGCTGTTGTGGGAGCAGGTGTTGTAGGAGATGTTTTTGTGGGAACAGGAGTTGTTGTGGGAGCAGGTGTTGTAGGAGCAGATGTTGTTGTAGGAACCAGGACGTTGTTGTAGGAGCAGATGTTGTTGTGGGAACAGTTGTTGTGGGAGCAAGCGTTGTAGGAGCAGATGTTGTTGTGGGAACATGAGTTGTTGTAGGAGCAGATGTTGTTGTGGGAACAGTTGTTGTGGGAGCAAGCGTTGTAGGAGCAGATGTTGTTGTGGGAGCAGAAGTTGTTGTGGGAACATGAGTTGTTGTGGGAGCAGATGTTGTTGTGGGCACCCTTTGTTGGTAGGAGCAGGTGGTTGTAGGAGTCAGATGGTTGTGTCGGGAACAGTTGTTTGGGAGCAAGTGTTGTAGGAGTAGATGTTGTTTGTGGGAACAGTGGGTGGGGAAGCAGGTGTTGTAAGAACAGGATGTTGTTGTGGGGAACCGTTGTTGTGGGAGCAGGTTGTTTGTAGGAGCAGATTTTGTGTGTTGGAACAGTTGTTGTGGGAGCAATGTTGTTGTGGGAACAGTTGTTTGGGGAGCAGGTGTTGTGGAGCAGATGTTGTGGGAAAAGTTGTTGTGGGAACAGTTGTGGGAGCAGATGTTGTGGAACAGTTGTTTGGGGAGCAGGTGTTGTGGAGCAGATGTTGTGGAACAGTTGTTGTGGGAGCAGGTGTTGTAGGAGGCAGATGATGTTGTGGGAGCAAGTGTTCTAGGAGCAGATGTTGTTGTGGGAGTAGGCGTTGTAGGAGCAGATGTTGTGGGAGCAAGTGTTGTAGGAGCAGATGTTGTTGTGGGAGCAGGCGTTGTAGGAGCAGATGTTGTTGTGGGAGTAGGCGTTGTAGGAGCAGATGTTGTGGGAGCAAGTGTTGTAGGAGCAGATGTTGTTGTGGGAGCAATCGTTGTAGGAGCAGATGTTGTTGTGGGAACAGTTGTTGTGGGTGCAGGCGTTGTAGGAGCAGATGTTGTTGTGGGAACAGGAGTTGTGGGAGCAGGTGTTGTAGGAACAGATGTTGTTGTGGAGCAGAAGTTGTTGTGGGAGCATGTGTTGTAGGAGCAGAATGTTGTTGTGGGAACAGTTGTTGTGGAGCAGAAGTTGTTGTGGGAGCAAGTGTTGTAGGAGCAGATGTTTGTGGGAACAGTTGTTGTGGGAGCAGTGTTGTAGGAGCAGATGTTTGTGGGAACAGGAGTTGTTGTAGGAGCAGATGTTGTTGTGGGAACAGTTGTTGTGGGAGGCAGGTGTTGTAGGAGGCAGATGTTGTGGGAACAGTTGTTGTGGGAGCAAGTGTGTAGGAGCAGATGTTTGTGGGAACAGGAGTTGTGGGAGCAGGTGTTTTAGGAGCAGATGTTGTGGGAACAGTTGTTGTGGAAGCAGGTGTTGTAGGAGCAGAGGTTGTTGTGGGAACAGTTTGTTGTGGGAGCAAGGTGTTGTAGGAGCAGATGTTGTTGTGGGAACAGTTGTTGTGGGAGCAGATGTTGTTGTAGGAACAGGTGTTGTGAGCAGGCGTTGTAGGAGCAGATGTTGTTGTGGGAACAGTTGTTGTGGGAGCAGGTGTTGTAGGAGCAGATGTTGTTGTGGGAACAGTTGTTGTGGGAGCAGGTGTTGTAGGAGATGTTGTGTGAGCAGGCGTTGTAGGAGCAGATGTTGTTGTGGGAACAGTTGTTGTGGGAGCAGGTGTTGTAGGAGAAGATGTTGTTGTGGGAGCAGTTGTTGTGGGAGCAGGTGTTGTAGGAGATGTTGTGTGAGTAGGCGTTGTAGGAGCAGATGTTGTTGTGGGAACAGTTGTTGTGGGAGCAGGTGTTGTAGGAGAAGATGTTGTTGTGGGAACAGTTGTTGTGGGAGCAGGTGTTGTAGGAGCAGATGTTTTTGTGGGAACAGTTGTTGTGGGAGCAGGTGTTGTAGGAACAGATGTTGTGGGAACAGTTGTTGTGGGAGCAGGTGTTGTAGGAGCAGATGTTGTTGTGGGAACAGGAGTTGTGGGAGCAGGCGTTGTAGGAGCAGATGTTGTTGTGGGAGCAGGTGTTGTAGGAGCAGATGTTGTTGTGGGAACAGTTGTTGTGGGAGCAGATGTTGTAGGAGCAGATGTTGTTCTGGGAGCAAGTGTTGTAGGAGTAGATGTTGTGGGAGCAGGTGTTGTAGCAGCAGATGTTGTTGTGGGAACAGTTGTTTGGGGAGCAGGTGTTGTAGATGTTGTTGTGGGAACAGGAGTTGTTGTGGGAGCAGGTGTTGTAAGAACAGATGTTGTTGTGGGAACAGTTGTTGTGGGAGCAGGTGTTGTAGGAGCAGATGTTGTTGTGGGAGCAGGTGTTGTAGGAGCAGATGTTGTGGGAGCAAGTGTTGTAGGAGCAGATGTTGTTGTGGGAACAGTTGTTGTGGGAGCAGGTGTTGTAGGAGCAGATGTTGTGGGAGCAAGTGTTGTAGGAGCAGATGTTGTGGGAACAGTTGTTGTGGGAGCAAGTGTTGTAGGAGCAGATGTTGTTGTGGGAACAGCTGTTGTGGGAGCAGGTGTTGTAGGAGCAGATGTTGTTGTGGGAACAGTTGTTGTGGGAGCAAGTGTTGTAGGAGCAGATGTTGTTGTGGGAACAGGAATTGTGGGAGCAAGTGTTGTAGGAGCAGATGTTGTTGTGGGAACAGTTGTGGGAGCAGATGATGTTGTAGGAACAGTTGTTGTGGGAACATGAGTTGTTGTGGGAGCAGATGTTGTGGGAACATGAGTTGTTGTGGGAACAGTTGTGGGAGCAGGTGTTGTAGGAGCAGATGTTGTTGTGGGAACAGTTGTTGTGGGAGCAGGTGTTGTAGGAGCAGATGTTGTTGTGGGAGCAAGTGTTGTAGGAGCAGATGTTGTGGGAACAGTTGTTGTGGGAGCAGGTGTTGTAGGAGCAGATGTTGTGGGAACAGTTGTTGTGGGAGCAGGTGTTGTAGGAACAGATGTTGTGGGAGCAGGTGTTGTAGAAGCAGATGTTGCTGTGGGAGCAAGTGTTGTAGGAGCAGATGTTGTTGTGGGAACAGTTGTTTGGGGAGCAGGTGTTGTAGGAGCAGATGTTGTGGGAACAGGAGTTGTGGGAGCAGGTTTTGTAGGAGCAGATGTTGTTGTGGAAACAGTTGTTGTGGGAGCAGGTGTTGTAGGAGCAGATGTTGTTGTGGGAACAGTTGTTGTGGGAGCAGGTGTTGTAGGAGCAGATGTTGTTGTGGGAACAGTTGTTGTGGGAGCAGGTGTTGTAGGAGCAGATGTTGTTGTGGGAACAGTTGTTGTGGGAGTAGGTGTTGCAGGAGCAGATGTTGTTGGAGCGAGAGTTGTGGGAGCAAGTGTTGTTGTAACGGGAGTTGTGGGAACAGGAGTTGTTGTGGCCACAAGAGATGTTATAACATCTGAAGTTATGGGAGCAGGTATTTTGGGAGTGTTTGTTGTGAAAATAGTTAATGCCGTGGGAGCAGGTGTTATTGTGAAGGCATGCTTTGTTCTTGAAACATCAGTTGATGTGGGAGCAGGTGTTGTTATGGAGGATGCCGTTGCAGTAGCAAAAGCTGTTGAGGGAGTAATTCTTGCTATTGTCGCAGACGTCGTGGAACCAATTGTTGTGGGAACAGGCGCTGCTGTGGGAGCAGGTGTTTTTGCAGCAGCAATAGTTGTGGAGGCAGGTACTGTCGTTGGAGCAGACGTTGTTACGGCATTAAATGTTGTGGGAAGAGGCGTTAAAGTTATAGCAGATGTTGTTGTGGTAATAGGTGTTAGTGTAGACATAGCCGTAGCCGGTGATGTAGAAGCAGGTGCTGTGACTTTGGTAGGGAGATCACCGGGAGACTCGCCAGCTGTTGAAAAATAGTCAGTGTTAGCAATATCAGGCTTCGTATTTGAATTAGTCTCTGTGGAGAATTCAGGAGTAGTGAAGACAGGTGATGTTTTGAGGTGAAGCGTTGATGCTGAAGAAATTTCGGCAGGGGAAGATCTCACAGAAGACACTGGAGTGTTCATTATTGCTGAGGCTGTCGTTGTTTCTGAGGCAGATTTTGTTGAAATAAACGTTGTTGTTGCAGGAACAGGTGTTGTAATTGGAGCAGATTTTGTGGGTGTTGCTATGGAAACAGATGATCCTGAGGAAATAGATTCTGTCGAGGACACAGATGTTGTTGAGGGAAAATATGTGTGAGTAGACGTTGTGGGAATTGAAGTTACTTGAGCAGACGTTGATGGCACATATGTTGTGGGAGTAAAAATTGTGGAAGCAGACGTTTTTAAAGGGACAGATGTTGTGGGAATAAACATCGCTGATGGCACAGAGGCCGATGCAAATGTTGTGGGAACAAGCCTTGTTGCTGAAGGTGATGCGGTTGTGTGAACTGATGTTCTTTTGGGGGAAGGAACAAACTTTGCTGTTGAGGCAGACATTGTTGTGGGAACGGACGTTGTTGCTGAAGCAGACTCAGCTGTAGGAATTGACTTTGATGAAGCAAAAGTTGTTCTGGGAATAAACTTCGTCGTCGAAACGGACATTTTTGTAGGAAGAGATGCTGCTATGGGAACAGATGATCCTGAAGCAGATGGAATAAGAATGTAGTCTGTTGTGAGAACAGGCGTTGTTGTAGGAACAGATGTGGGAGCAGACGTTGAAAGAACAGATGTTGTAGGAGCAGGCGTTGTTATAAGAATAGATGTGAGATCAGATGCTGTAGGAATAGACGTTGGAGCAGACACTGTTGTAGGAACAGATGTTGTGGGAGCAGACGTTGTAGGAACAGAAGCTGTGGAAACGATCGTTGCTGAGTCATGTATAGTTGCAAGAACAGTTGGTCTGGGAGCAGCGGTTGTTGTGGGAACAGATGCTGTTATTGAAGCAGATGTGAGAATAGATATTTTTGTGGGAACATAATTTGTTGTGGAGATAGAAGTTGTTGTGGGAGCAGATGCTGTTCCATCAATAGGATGAGGCATTGTTGTGGGACTAAATTTTGTTGTAGATATAAAATTATTCATAGGGGAAGAGGATTCCGTGGAATTAGATGCTATTGTTGAAGCCACAGATGTCAGGGGAACAGACTTTGTTATTACTGAATAAGATGTCATCACTGAATCAGACGTTGTTCTGGCTGAACCAGATGTTGCAGGAATAGACATTGCTGAAGCAGACGTTGTTGGAATAGACGTTGCTGAAGTAAATGTCTTTGGAATAGACGTTGTTGAAGCAGTTGTTGAAGTTGTTGGAACAGATGTTGCCGAAGCAGACGTTGTTGGAATAGACGTTTCTGAAGTAAATGTCTTTGGAATAGACGTTGTTGAAGTTGTTGGAGCAGATGTTGCCGAAGCAGACATTGTTGGAATGGACGTTGTTGAAGCAGACGTTGTTGGAATAGACGTTGCTGAAGTTGTTGGAACAGATGTTGCCGAAGCAGACGTTGTTGGAATAGACGTTTCTGAAGTAAATGTCTTTGGAATAGACGTTGTTGAAGTAGTTGTTGAAGTTGTTGGAGCAGATGTTGCCGAAGAAGACATTGTTGGAATAGACGTTTCTGAGGCAGACGTTGTTGGAATAGACGTTGCTGAAGAAGACGTTGGAAAAGATGCTGCTGAAGCAGACGTTCTTGGAATAAACGTTGCTGAAGTAGACGTTGTTGGAATAGACGTTTCTGAACCAGACGTTGTTGGAATAGACGTTGCTGAAGCAGACGTTCGAGTAGACGTTGCTGAAACAGACGTTGTTGGAATAGACGTTGCTGAAGAAGACGTTGTTGGAATAGACGTTGCTGGAATAGACGTTGCTGAAACAGACGTTGTTGGAATAGACGTTGCTGAAGAAGACGTTGTTGGAATAGACGTTTCTGAAGCAGACGTTCTTGGAATAGACGTTGCTGAAGCAGATGTTGTTGGAATAGACGTTGCTGAAGCAGAGGTTGAAATAGATGTTGCTGAAGTAGAAGTTTTTAGAAAAGACGTTTCTGAAGCAGACGTTGGCATAGGCGTTACTGAAACAGCTGTTGGAATAGACGTTGCTGAAGCAGACGTTGTTGGAATAGACGTTGCTGAAGTAAATGTCTTTGGAATAGACGTTGCTGAAGCAGACTTTGTTGGAATAGACGTTACTGAAGTAGACGTTGTTGGAATAGATGTTGCTGAAGTAGACGTTGTTGGAATAGACGTTACTGAAGCAGACGGTGTTGGAATAGACGTTGCTGAAGTGGACGTTGTTGGAATAGACGTTGCTGAAGAAGACGTTGTTGGAATAGACGTTGCTGAAGCAGACTTTGTTGGAATAGACGTTGCTGAAGTGGACGTTGTTGGAATAGACGTTGCTGAAGAAGACGTTGTTGGAATAGACGTTGCTGAAGCAGACGTTGTTGGAATAGACGTTGCTGAAGTGGACGTTGTTGGAATAGACGTTGCTGAAGTGGACGTTGTTGGAATAGACGTTGCTGAGGAAGACAATTTTGGAATAGACGTTGATGAAGCAGACGTTGTTAGAATAGACGTTGCTGAAGCAGACGTTGTTAGAATAAACGTTGCTGAAGAAGACGTTGTTGGAATAGACGTTGCTGAGGTGGACGTTGTTGGAATAGACGTTGCTGAAGCAGAAGTTGTTGGAATAGACGTTGCTGAAGCAGAAGTTGTTGGAATAGACGTTGCTGAAGCAGACGTTGTTGGAATAGACGTTGCTGAAGCAGTCGTTGTTGGAATAGACGTTGCTGAAGAAGACGCTGTTGGAATAGACGTTGATGAATCAGACATTGTTAGAATAGACGTTGCTGAAGCAGACGTTGTTAGAATAAACGTTGATGAAGAAGACGTTGCTGAAGCAGACGTTGTTGGAATAGACGTTGCTGAAGCAGACGTTGTTGGAATAGACGTTGCTGAAGCAGACGTTGTTGGAATAGACGTTGCTGAAGAAGACTCTGTTGGAATAGACGTTGCTGAAGCAGACTTTGTTGGAATAGACGTTGCTGAAGTGGACGTTGTTGAAAAAGACGTTTCTGAAACAGACGTTGTTGGAATAGACGTTGTTGAAGCAGGCGTGGTTGGAATAGACGTTGCTGAAGTGGACGTTGTTGGAATAGACGTTGCTGAAGTGGACGTTGTTGAAGAAGACGTTTCTGAAGCAGACTTTGTTGGAATAGACGTTGCTGAAGCAGACGTTGTTGGAATAGACGTTGCTGAAGCAGACGTTGTTGAAAAAGACGTTTCTGAAGCAGACGTTGTTGAAATAGACGTTGTTGGAATAGACGTTGCTGAAGTGGACGTTGTTGAAAAAGACATTTCTGAAGCAGACTTTGTTGGAATAGACGTTGCTGAAGCAGACGTTGTTGGAATAGACGTTGCTGAAGCAGATGTCTTTGGAATAGATGTTGTTGAAGCAGACGTTGTTAGAATAGATGTTGCTGAAGAAGATGTTGTTGGAAAAGATGTTGCTGAAGCAGACGTTGTTAGAATAGATATTACTGAAGAAGATGTTGTTGGAAAAGATGTTGCTGAAGCAGACGTTGTTGGAATAGATGTTGCTGAAGAAGATGTTGTTGGAAAAGATGTTGCTGAAGCAGACGTTGTTAGAATAGATGTTGCTGAAGATGTTGGAAAAGATGTTGCTGAAGCAGACGATGTTGGAATAGACGTTACTGAAGCAGACGTTGTTGGAATAGACGTTGCTGAAGCAGACGTTGTTGGAATAGACGTTGCTGGACCAGACGTTGCTGAAGTGGGCGTTGTTGGAATAGACGTTGCTGAAGCAGACTTTGTTGGAATAGACGTTGCTGAAGCAGACGTTTTTGGAATAGACGTTTCTGAAGCAGACGTTGCTGAAATGGACGTTGTTGGAATAGACGTTGCTGAAGCAGACGTTGTTGGAATAGACGTTGCTGAAGTGGACGTTGTTGGAATAGACGTTGCTGAAGCAGACTTTGTTGGAATAGACGTTGCTGAAGAAGACGTTGTTGGAATAGACGTTGCAGAAGCAGACGGTGTTGGAATAGACGTTGCTGAAGCAGACGTTGTTGGAATAGACGTTACTGAAGCAGACGTTGTTGGAATAGACGTTTCTGAAGCAGACATTACAGAAACAGACGTTGTTTGAATAGACATTTCTGAAGCAGACATTGCAGAAGCAGACGTTGTTAGAATAGACGCTTCTGAAGCAAACTTTGTTGGAATAGACGTTGCTGAAGCAGACTTTGTTGGAATAGACGTTGCTGAAGCAGACGTTGTTGGAATAGACGTTGCTGAAGTGGACGTTCTTGAAAAAGACGTTTCTGAAGCAGACGTTGCTGAAATGGACGTTTTTGGAATAGACGTTGCTGAAGTGGACGTTGTTGGAATAGACGTTACTGAAGCAGACGTTGTTGGAATAGACGTTGCTGAAGTGGGCGTTATTGAAAAAGACGTTGCTGAAGCAGACTTTGTTGGAATAGACGTTGCTGAAGTAGACGTTGTTGGAATAGATGTTGCTGAAGCAGACGTTGCTGGAATAGACGTTGCTGAAGCAGACTTTGTTGGAATAGTCGTTGCTGAAGCAGACGTTGTTGAAAAAGACGTTTCTGAAGCAGACGTTTTTGGAATAGACGTTGCTGAAGCAGACGTTGTTGGAATAGACTTTGCTGAAGCAGAAGTTGTTGGAATAGACGTTGCTGAAGCAGACGTTGTTGGAATAGACATCACTGAAGTGGACGTTGTTGAAAAAGAAGTTTCTGAAGCAGACTTTGTTGGAATAGACGTTGCTGAAGCAGACGTTGTTGGAATAGACGTTGCTGAAGCAGACGTTGTTGGAATAGACGTTGCTGAAGCAGACGTTGTTGGAATAGACGTTGCTGAAGCAGACGGTGTTGGAATAGACGTTGCTGAAGAAGACGCTGTTGGAATAGACGTTGCTGAAGCAGACGTTGTTGGAATAGACGTTGCTGAAGCAGACGTTGTTGAAAAAGACGTTTCTGAAGCAGACGTTGTTGGAATCGACGTTGCTGACGCAGACATTGTTGGAATAGACGTTGCTGAAGCAGACGTTGGAATAGACGTTGCTGAAGCAGACGTTGCTGTCTTTGGAATAGATGTTGTTGAAGTTGTTGGAACAGATGTTGCTGAAGCAGACGTTGTTGGAATAGACGTTTCTGAAGCAGACGTTGTTGGAATAGACGTTGCTGAAGAAGACGTTGTTGGAAAAGATGTTGCTGAAGCAGACGTTGTTGGAATAGACGTTGCTGAAGCAGACGTTATTGGAATAGACGTTGCTGAAGCAGACGTTGGAATAGACGTTGCTGAAGCAGACGTTGTTGGAATAGACGTTGCTGAAGCAGACGTTGTTGGAATAGACGTTGCTGACGCAGATGTTGCTGAAGCAGACGTTGTTGGAATAGATGTTGCTGAAGCAGACGTTGCTGGAATCGACGTTGCTGACGCAGATATTGCTGAAGCAGACATTGTTGGAATAGACGTTGCTGAAGCAGACGTTGGAATAGACGTTGCTGAAGCAAACGTTGTTGGAATAGACGTTGCTGAAGCAGACGTTGCTGAAGTGGACGTTGTTGGAATAGACGTTGTTGAAGCAGACGTTGTTGGAATAGACGTTGCTGAAGCAGACTTTGTTGGAATATACGTTGCTGAAGCAGACGTTGTTGGAATAGACTTTGCTGAAGCAGAAGTTGTTGGAATAGACGTTGCTGAAGCAGACGTTGTTGGAATAGACATCACTGAAGTGGACGTTGTTGAAAAAGAAGTTTCTGAAGCAGACTTTGTTGGAATAGACGTTGCTGAAGCAGACGTTGTTGGAATAGACGTTGCTGAAGCAGACGTTGTTGGAATAGACGTTGCTGAAGCAGACGTTGTTGGAATAGACGTTGCTGAAGCAGACGGTGTTGGAATAGACGTTGCTGAAGAAGACGCTGTTGGAATAGACGTTGCTGAAGCATACGTTGTTGGAATAGACGTTGCTGAAGCAGACGTTGTTGAAAAAGACGTTTCTGAAGCAGACGTTGTTGGAATCGACGTTGCTGACGCAGACATTGTTGGAATAGACGTTGCTGAAGCAGACGTTGGAATAGACGTTGCTGAAGCAGACGTTGCTGTCTTTGAAATAGATGTTGTTGAAGTTGTTGGAACAGATGTTGCTGAAGCAGACGTTGTTGGAATAGACGTTTCTGAGGCAGACGTTGTTGGAATAGACGTTGCTGAAGAAGACGTTGTTGGAAAAGATGTTGCTGAAGCAGACGTTGTTGGAATAGACGTTGCTGAAGCAGACGTTATTGGAATAGACGTTGCTGAAGCAGACGTTGGAATAGACGTTGCTGAAGCAGACGTTGTTGGAATAGACGTTGCTGAAGCAGACGTTGTTGGAATAGACGTTGCTGACGCAGATGTTGCTGAAGCAGACGTTGTTGGAATAGATGTTGCTGAAGCAGACGTTGCTGGAATCGACGTTGCTGACGCAGATATTGCTGAAGCAGACATTGTTGGAATAGACGTTGCTGAAGCAGACGTTGGAATAGACGTTGCTGAAGCAAACGTTGTTGGAATAGACGTTGCTGAAGCAGACGTTGCTGAAGTGGACGTTGTTGGAATAGACGTTGTTGAAGCAGACGTTGTTGGAATAGACGTTGCTGAAGCAGACTTTGTTGGAATAGACGTTGTTGAAACAGACGTTGTTGGAATAGACGTTGCTGAAGCAGACTTTGTTGGAATAGACGTTGCAGAAGCAGACGTTGCTGAAGTGGACATTGTTGGAATAGACGTTGCTGAAGCAGACGTTGCTGACGTGGACGTTGTTGGAATAGACGTTGCTGAAACAGACGTTGTTGGAATATACGCTGTTGAAGCAGACGTTGTTAGAATAGACGCTGTTGAAGTAGACGATGTTGGAATAGACGTTGCTGAAACAGACGTTGTTGGAATAGACGTTTCTGAAGCAGACGTTGCTGAAGTGGACGCTGTTGGAATAGACGTTGCAGAAGCAGACGTTGTTGGAATAGACGTTTCTGAAGCAGACATTGTTGGAATAGACGTTTCTGAAGTGGACGTTGCAGAAGCAGACGTTGTTTGAATAGACGTTTCTGAAGCAGACATTGCAGAAGCAGACGTTGTTGGAATAGACGCTGTTGAAGCAGACTTTGTTGGAATAGACGTTGCTGAAGCAGTCGTTGTTGGAATAGACGTTGCTGAAGCAATCGTTGTTGGAATAGACGTTGCTGAAGCAGACTTTGTTGGAATAAACGTTGCTGAAGCAGACGTTGTTGGAATAGACGTTGCTGAAGCAGACGTTGTTGGAATAGACGTTGCAGAAGCAGACGTTTTTGGAATAGACGTTGCAGAAGCAGACGTTGTTGGAATAGACGTTTCTAAAGCAGACGTTGTTGGAATAGACGTTGCTGAAGCAGACGTTGTTGAAATAGACGTTGCTGAAGCAGACGGTGTTGGAATAGACATTGCTGAAGCAGACGTTGTTGGAATAGACGTTGCTGAAGCAGACGTTGTTGGAATAGACGTTGCTGAAGCAGACTTTGTTGGAATAGACGTTGCTGAAGCAGACATTGTTGGAATAGACGTTGCTGAAGAAGACGTTGTTGGAATAGACGTTGCTGAAGCAGACTTTGTTGGAATAGACGTTGCTGAAGCAGACGTTGTTGGAATAGACGTTGCTGAAGCAGACGTTGTTGGAATAGACGTTGCTGAAGCAGACGTTGTTGGAATAGACGTTGCTGAAGCAGACGTTGTTGGAATAGACGTTGCTGAAGCAGACGTTGTTGGAATAGACGTTGCTGAAGTGGACGTTGTTGGAATAGACGTTGCTGAAGCAGACGTTGTTGGAATAGACGTTGCTGAAGCAGACGTTGTTGGAATAGACGTTGCTGAAGAAGACGTTGAAATAGACGTTGCTGAAGTAGAAGTTGCAGAGGCAGACGTTTTTGGAATAGACGTTTCTGAAGTAGACGTTGTTGGAATAGACGTTTCTGAAGCAGACTTTGTTGGAATAGACGTTTCTGAAGCAGACTTTGTTAGAATAGACGTTGGTGAAGTAGAAGTTGCAGAGGCAGACGTTGTTGGAATAGACGTTGCTGAAGCAGACGTTGTTGGAATAGACGTTGCTGAAGCAGACGTTGTTGGAATAGACGTTTCTGAAGCAGACGTTGTTGGAATAGTCGTTGCTGAAGCAGACGTTGTTGGAATAGACGTTGCTGAAGCAGACGTTGTTGGAATAGACGTTGCTGAAGCAGACGTTGTTGGAATAGACGTTGCTGAAGCAGACGTCGTTGCAGCTCCATTAGCTGTGGAAGATGTCAAACTAATGGAAAGACTGCCATTCCCAGTTGCTGGATGTTGGTACAGTGTGAACTACTGTATATTTCAGCAGCCAGTGCTCACATTAATCAGTTTTTCAGAAACTTCAACAAGAGATTTTTCTGTTTACTAGCAGATTAATAAACAAGTTAATAAGAATTAGACACAAGTAATCTGCGTAATTACAATATTTTTACATGTGTATGTATATTTTAATATATAAATCCATTTATATATATATATATATATATATATATATATATATATATATATATATATATATATATATATATATATATATATAAGCACCTAACAACCCACAGTAAGTCAAATATGTTTGTCTGCATAATGCTTGATCATACATCACACCGAGCTACACACTCAACAAACACCGATCGAACCCAGGTTGGGTGTGTGTGTTGGGTGTGTGTTGGGGTGGAAAGAGCTTCCGCTATACACGTTTAATCATCGTAAAATATGATTCTCCCCTTACTGATTCCCAAGTATTCAGTTTGCATGTTATGCACAATGTATGACAAACACGTCTGACCTATTGTGGACCGTTTAAAGCACATTCAGACATATTAGATATTCTGCTGAATACTTACGTAAATTTTGTTGTTCTTGTTCTATTTTCTGTTTTATTTTTTCTATCAATTTTTGTATTTCCTCTTTTTTCTGTTAAAATAATAGACATTAGATTTCACTATAGGCCTGAGAATTAAAATATTTTAGAGCATTTTATTTCTAAATAAGTTTAACATGATGTGGAGTTACCCATTATCTGATGTCAGGGCACACAGCACACGCGGGTAATCAAACACATAAAAAATCATTGATCGACACCTTACCTTCCTGATTTCCTCCAGGAGTTTCTTTAGTTGTATCACTGCTCTTTCGATGGTTCTAATCAGGGGGCTGATATCTTCTGGCATGGAGACGTCGCCATGTACAGTTTTTTTTTTTTTTTTTTTTTTTTAGCGTCACGAAACTCCCTTTTTGGACAAGGGCTAGGACGGGCTGGTATTGGCAGGTGGAGACCGTTACCCCGAGTGGATGCCCTTCCTAACCTCGGGCCGTGGCCGGGACTTGAACCCGTGCGCCTGCGGACCCTCCGGCCCACAGCCGCGCGCGTTACCACTGTACCACGGTGGCCCCCAAAGAGAGCTTCCGCTATGAGACCAAGAAAACGAAAGTTATCATGAAGAAAGACTTACATTTTATTATGTCACTTTACTGGAAATAGAACTGAAGAGTAATCTTAACATAATTTTATAATAATTTCATAAACAGCATATATCACGTGCAGAGTGCAAAGAATCCTCAGCAAAACTCTTGCAAGTCAGGACTGCTTGCCAGGGACAGAGCTACTCCACTGACCGCAGTTGATCGAGTGATGCCAAAGACGGTCAACCAAGAATGAACAGATGACGAGATAATATCAAACTCGTTTAATCATCGTAAAATATGATCTTCCCCTTACTGATTCCCAAGTATTCAGTTTGCATGTTATGCACAATGTATGACAAACACGTCTGACCTATTGTGGACCGTTTAAAGCACATTCAGACATATTAAATATTCTGCTGAATACTTACGTAATTTTTGTTGCTCTTGTTCTATCTTCTGTTTTATTTTTTCTATCAATTTTTGTATTTCCTCTTTTTTCTGTTAAAATAATAGACATTAGATTTCACTATAGGCCTGAGAATTAAAATATTTTAGAGCATTTTATTTCAAAATAAGTTTAACATGATGTGGAATTACCCATTATCTGATGTCAGGGCACACAGCACACGCGGGTAATCAAACACATAAAAAATCATTGATCGACACCTTACCTTCCTGATTTCCTCCATGAGTTTCTTTAGTTGTATCACTGCTCTTTCGATGGTTCTAATCAGGGGGCTGATATCTTCTGGCATGGAGACGTCGCCATGTACAGCACTAGCAGTGAGGGTTTGTAACTGACTGATTCGACATGATGCCAGCTGTGATAAGGATAATGGACAGTGACTACCTGTTCAAACTATTTTTTTTTCTTATTGACTGATTCCATCTCTTCTTTTTCGAGCACAAAACCCGAAACTTGATGTAAATACTCACAGGGTTTCTGGAGATAATTGCATCTACCATTTGTGTAATGATTTTTGGTGCCAGTGTAGCAAAGCTGCCAATTTCTTTTGGTTTACTTCCAGTACAGCCGTCAATTGTCTGTGAAGAGGAAGTTAATGGTTTTATGATGGAATATGGCACAAGAGTGGAGAGAACCTGAATTAAAGATTTTGGGAGATTAGAAAGTAAAATAAGGGAGGAAAAGGAATATGTACAGTATATTAGAGATTATCGCATATCATATGCCCATAAATGAATTGAAAAGAAATAAATTGGATGTGATGGTTCGAACAGATATGTATTGGGCCTAAATGGAAATAATAACCCAACAGAAAAAAAACATTAATGATTGTGATATATACTTACTATTAGTGTTGCTGATCTGTGTGACCTTAGATGTCGACTTCCATTTTCGAAATGGCTTTTAAGAATGCCAAGGAGTTCAAGCACACGAGTCAAGTTTTTCCCTTTTTTAATCAGAATTTCCTCTTTTTCTCGCAGCACTTTAGCAAACAATTTCAGCTGTTCTGTTGTTGACTGTGTTGCTACTGTGGGTGTTGCGGAAGCATCTGTTGTTACAGATGATATCCCTGTCGCTAAAAATGGTATTACTTCCGGAAGATTTGTTGTACGAATATCCACGGTCTCTGTTGCAAGCGTATTCACTGTTGGAGAACCAGGTGTCACTGTGGGAGCAACCGTTGTTGGGGAATTTTGTGTTACTGTGGAAGTAGCCTTTGTTGGGGAAATGGATGTGGATGCACTTGTTGGTGAGGAAGGTGAACGTGGGAGCAGAATGTTTAAGGATATAGAAGCTAAAGAATATTTCTGGGTATTTCTTGCATATTTCGAAAGTACCGAGATATTGAGAAACTGAGTTTGCCTGCTTTGTAGAAATTCGAAACCTTACTCTCTTCCTCTCTCTCTCTCTCTCTCTCTCTCTCTCTCTCTCTCTCTCTCTCTCTCTCTCTCTCTCTCTCTCTCTCTCTCTCTCTCGCTCTCTGTCTATGCATCTCTATCTCTCTCTCTCGCTCTGACGCTCTCTCTCTCTCTCTCTCTCTCTCTCTCTCTCTCTCTCTCTCTCTCTCTCTCTCTCTCTCTCTCTCTCTCTCTCGCTCTGTCGCTCTCTCTCACTCACTCACTCACACACTCTCTCTCTCTCTCTCTCTCTCTCTCTCTCTCTCGCTCTCTCTCTCTCTATCTATCTATCAATCTATCTCTACCTCCCTCTCCCTCTCTCCCTCTCTCTCTCTGTCTGTCTGTCTGTCTGTCTCTCTCTCTCTCTCTCTCTCTCTCTCTCTCTCTCTCTCTCTCTCTCTCTCTCTCTCCTTCCCTCCCTCTCCCTCTCCCTCTCTCTCTCTCTCTCTCTCTCTCTCTCTCTCTCTCTCTCTCTCTCTCTCTCTCTCTCCCTCTCCTCTCTCTCTCTCTCTCTCTCTCTCTCTCTTTTCCTCTCTTTCTCTCTCTCTCTCTCCATCTCCCGTTTCTAAGCAAAGACCAAAGTTAAGATACTGAAATACGTGCCATTGCAGTCCTCCAAGTTTTTGTTTGTTTCTTTGATTTCCTTCTTTTTCTTTTCTAACTCTTCTTTCGTGTCGAGACTTCGAGTTGTAACCTTGAATGTAATCCAGGTATATTATCTAGACATTTGTTATTTGTATCAGACAATGGATAAAAATGGTCATTGGTGAAAATTACTTTTTTTTTTCTCCATCAAATATTTTAAGAACGATTTCGTCTACGCTTAAGTGTGTATTTTTATATGTGTGTGTTCGTGTTTTCATCCGAGGGTGTGTGTGTGTGTGTTTGTGTGTGTGTGTGTGTGTGTGTGTGTGTGTGTGTGTGTGTGTGTGTGTGTGTGTGTGTGTGTGTGTGTGTGTGTGTGTGTGTGTGTGTATACATGGTTCTATCCGTACGTGTTTGTAAATATGAACTTACATCATCTAAAAAATGGTTCATAAAGGCAGTTAGGTTTGCTATGAAGTCCTCCAGTTGAAAAATGGGAGTGGCTGCACTGGTGGGAACAGCCGCGATGCCAGACGTAACCTGCACGATAGATGACGCCAGCTGACTCGCCCAGCACTTGGCCCGCTCGGCCAGTTCATCCTGTGGGAGTGGACATCTTCAGGAAAATGGTTACTCTCACAAAATAAGAAAGAACAAGAAAAAAGAAAAAGAAGGAAACAAAAATCTAAAGGAGAGTTTTTAAAATAGGTTTGAACGAGGACTGTCGATGACCTACCACATGACCTGTGTCGACGCGTGATATCTCTTCGAGAATATCGATGATGACTGACGACATATTGCTGACGATGCTGCTGGATGTGTTATCGCAATCAGTCACAATCTGGAATTATACGAAGTGCTTATACATGGCAGTAAAACGTTTTGTATGCACGTGCTAAAAAAAAGCCAGAAAGGTTTAATCAAAGTTTTAATTTGCTACCTTTTAGTAACATATATGTATATATGAATGTACGTGAGTATGTCTGTATGGCATTATGCATGTATATGTATAAAGCTAACGAAATATATACACACTCATATGCATTTAAATACATGTATATGTATATATATATATATATATATATATATATATATATATATATATATATATATATATATATATATATATATATTCAGTGATAGGTTTGCCCCTCAGGCGTCGTATCGTTATTATGAAGAGGAAGACTAAGACAGTGGTGAAGAACTTCATATTTATTAGACGTTTCGGAGGTGAACATTAGGCCTCCATCATCAATAAAAAACTGTCAAAAAGAACCAATGAAAAAGTCAGTTGGACAATTGAGAATATGGATATATATAGGTTCTGAACTAAAGCGTAAGAATATCAAAGAACAAATACATACAAGGGCATAATGAAGTCATACAAAAAACGATATACAATGAAAAGTAACGTATATACAAGAAAAAACTATAAACAACCAAAAAAGAGGTAAACTAACCAAAAATAGGTATTGTTCCTACTGTTAAAAAAGACCACATATACATTAAACTACCGTACATGGGCAGTTTAAGCTTTGAAATCAGAAAGCAACTAAAATCTCTGTTACTGAATAATTACCCTCAAATCAAATTCACTTTTGTATTCACTAACACTAACAATATAGGCAATTTTTTTAAACAACCGCAAGGGTGGAACTCTGACTTGTGATCTAATGTGGTGTATTTATTTACCTGTCCTTGCTGCCAAGCTCGGTACGTGGGATCTACCTCACGATGGTTACGACACCGCATCCTTGACCACAAAGGCAAATCCTTCAGGACTGGCCTTCCGCTGAGCAAACCATCTTTCTCGGCAATAAGAGAACTCTCTACTCCACTCACACCCTTTCTCCCACACAGATTTCAGTATTTTATCTTCCCATTCCTCCCGTCCAGACCTCATCATCTCCGAATCACTACACATACGGAAGATGAAACCAGAACTAAATAACACAAC